GTTATCAATTATCAGTCATCAGTTATCTTTTAGCAGTTATCGTTTATCGTCCGTACAACTGTGGCCTGAGAGATTCAGCTGAAAGTCCTGGTGCACCTTTTATTTGAACCTGCAGAGATTTGAACAGCTGATCTGAAGCAAACAGGCAGGAGTTCACCTGAACTGAGCACTCCTGCTGTTTGATGGTCTCCTCCTTCGCCACCCGTCCATCCATCCATCCATCATCCATCCATCCATCCATCCATCCATCCTCTTCTGCTTCAGGGTTGTGGAGCAGCATCTTCACCAGGGAGGCACAGACATCAACAGCCACCTCTTCAGCTCTTCTAGGACCCCATGGTGTTTTCAGACCAACTGACTATTTATTAATTAATATCCTGATGCTGCTCAATAATCCAGGTAGAAAAATCTAAAAAGTTAAGTCTGGTCCTCTGGACATTCACAAAACAAACAATACAGTTTATAATAAATAAACTAAATGTTTTTTGTTAGTTTTGTTTTTTGAATGTCCAGAGGACCAGACTTAACTTTTTTAGATTAATAAGTAATAAATTTATGTTTTAATTTAATGAAAGACAAATCTTTAAAATTCAAGGACAAAATTTAACCTAATTGTTTTCAAGTCTGTATCTTATTGTAAAAGCAGTTTCAAAGATTACAGCACAGTGTGATGTTTTGCAATTTTAATATGAACCTTGTTCATATCTGCAAATAATAAAAGTGAAGATATTTTTAATACATCTTTATTGTAAAAATCTATACTAAAATGAAAAACACATGGAATTAAAGCAGGCAGGGAAGGCAGTAAGGTAGGATTATGAATCAGGTTTAAAAGTTACAGCTCATGAGGTACTCCATTAGAGCATGACATCGCTTCCACAACGTCGTGTGACAAAACCTTCAGGGTGTTCTTCTTCTAATACGTTTAGTGGTGGCTAGTAAGTAGCTTAAGGGAGCACTACCGCCACCAGGTGGTAAGGCGAGTTGGATTCTAGTCCCCGCCTACAGAGCTGGTCCAGAAATGTACATGGAAACACAACAGACCCGAACCGATCTGAACCAACCCAAACTGATCTGATCCGCTCTGTGACAGTGGAAAAGGGGCATTAGCTTCACTTGTATTAACTCCACAAGTTCAGATGTTCATCGAACAAGGTATAAAAACCAAGGTATAAAACAAAAATCTCACACTCTTGAGTGTGTGTTCTAGATGACTCTCGGCTACTACCACTCCAAATTCACGCAGTACGTCTACGATTGATGAGTTATGGCCACATTTTGTGCTACTAAGGTTGATAAGCTGTGGATGACGTTTTGAAATGGAACAAGTGCAGAAGTTCAGCAATTGTAGATCTACACACAGTACTTTCTGAGAATGTCATTAAAATCCATGAAATGGTTGAGGGATATTTTGCTAACAGACAGACAATTCCTCACACTCATTGGAGAAAATGTCTATACCAGAAAAACAGAAAAGCACAAAGACCCAGGCCAGGAGATGTTTGCTTTTGACAGTTAGTCCCTGTAGCCACAAATATAACCTGGAACAGTTTTACATGTGCAGGAGGCAGATATGATCTATGCACAGACACAGCTGATGTCTCTAAACATGGACTCAGATGAGAGACACATGTCCTGTGGACAGCGAAGTCCACATTTCAGCTAAAAACTGGATGTCTGGTTCTATGTACAAGCCTTAGATGAGAAAGTTCATCCATCTTGTTTTTGTTTCAATTAAAAGTGTAAAATTCAGTGACAGGATGAGGAAGCATCAGTGTCCATGGCTGCAGACAAGTGAAGGGACCACTGATGGGGATCTGGGACAGATAGATGCTACCATAATGATAATTTCTTCCTGAGACATTTATTTTCTCAGTGGCAAGTCAATTTACATTTTGCACAGTTTTTAGTGTTGTAGCTTCACAGACACAAAGCGTGTGAGCTGGACCAGCGTGTCTGCCTTCCAGATCTGCCTTTTATTAAAAATGTGTCCAGCATGATCTGAAAAATGCACCAACTGGGACTGTTGAGCAGATGAGATCTCAGAAGGGGCTCAAATTCTTCTTGCAAAACATTTAGTCCTCAATTAAAACCAGTGATTCTGGCTTGTGAAAGCGTAAAGAAATGTGTGTTTTTGTGTTCATGAAAACGTCCAAAGAGTGACAGCCTAACATTTTTGTTGCATCTAAAAGAATAATAAGGTTCTGTGAGTTTTGTGTGTTATTGTTTGAATTAGAGCACAGTCAGTACCTTGAAGGTGTCTTCAAACACCTTAACGTCTCCATGATTGGTCATGGTACAACCACAAACTTGAGTCTTTTATTGGAATCAACACAAATTAGAACATAGTTGTGTAGTGGAAATGTGTAAAATGAAATATGTTTTTTTTTTATGTATATAAACGTGAAACTTGTGGTGTACATTTGTATTCAGCCCCCTTGAGTCCAGATTTGGTAGATCCTCCGTTACATTTGGGGCGGCTGTGGCTGAGTGGTTAGAGCAGTCGTCCTCCAATGCGAGAGTTGGGGGTTCAAATCCACCAGCAGTCAAATGTCGAAGTGTCCCTGGGCAAGACACTGAACCCCTCATAGCCTCTGATGTGTGTCCCATCAGTGTATGAATGTGATCTAAAGCACTGATTAGTCTCATTAGAATGATTCGTTCAATTAGCTTTGTAGAGATCTAGTATAGAGCTGTATGAATGGGTAAACGAGGCACAGATTGTAGTGTAAAGCGCTTTGAGTATCTTGAAATAAGATAGAAAGGCGCTATATAAGTACAGTCCATTTACCATTTACCATTTATGTAGCTGCAAGTCTTGCTCTACCTCCAGCAGCTTTGGACATCTAGAGCCTGAAATCTTTGTCCATTCTTGGTAAAACAGCTGCAGCTCAGTCAGATTGGATAGAGAGTGTCTGTGAACAGCAACTTCTCAGAGGGATTCAGGTCTGGACTTTGGCTGGACCATTCTATCATAAACATGTTTTGATCTGAACCAGGTCGCTGTAGCTCTGCTCGTTTTGGGTCATTGTTCTGCTGGAAGGTGAACCTCCGCCCTGCTCTCAAGTCTTTCTTGTTCTCTAATGGGTTTTATTCTTGGATGGTTTAGCTCCATCCATCTTCTCATCAGCTCTGATTCTCTGTCCCTGCTGAAGAGAAACATCCCCACAGCATGATGCTGCCACCACCATGTTTCACATGGTGCGTTCAGGTGACGTGCAGTGTTGGTTTTCTGCCACACTTACCGGTATTCTGATCTGAGCAGAGCTCCTTCTTCCACATGTTCATGTGCCTCTACGTGACTTCTGACAAACTGCAAATGAGACTTTCTCTAGCTTTCTGTCAACAACAGCTTCCTTCTTCCTACTCTTTCATAAAAAAAAGATTTGTGGACTGCATGTCTGAAAGATGTCCTGTGGACAGATTCTCTCCTCTGAGCTGAGGATCTCTGCAGCTCCTCCAGAGTTAGAGCTTCTTCTCAGATTAACGTTCTCCTTGTCTGGTCCATCAGTTTGGGTGGACAATCATGTTTGGTTTGCAGTTGTACTCCGTCCATTTACTGATGATTGACTGAACAGTTATTCTTGAGATGTTTTATAACCTAACACTGCTGTAAACTTCTCAACAATTGTCTGGTGTATTCCTTGGTCTTCATGATGCTGTTTGATGACATGTTCTGTAACAAACTCCTGAGGCCTTCACAGAACAGCTGCTGTGAATACTGAGATTAAATTACACACTGACAGACTCTGGTTCTAATGTATCGTGTTAAGGAAGCTTGTACATGTCACACTTCTCAGATTTTTCTTTGTAAAACACTTAGAAACCCATCCATCCATGTTCTTAACCCGCTTCTTTCTTTTTGGGTGGTGGGGGTCACTGGCGCCCATGTCCAGCCATCACTGTGTGAGAGGCGGGGGACACCCTGGACAGGTCTCCAGTCCATCACAGGGACACATAGAGACAAACGAGACAAACAACCATTCACTCTCTCACTCACACCTAGAGATAATTTAGAGTTACCAATCAGCCCAGGGATCTGCAACCTTTATGATCAAAAGAGCCATTTCTGCACCTTTGTTCACTAAATTAAATGTGTTTGGAGCCACAATACCTTCTACGACTGGGATTCTCAACTGGTGGCCCACGGACTACTTTAAGTTTGTTGGAGGGCATTTTTCTGGACTGTAGGGGTGAGTTTATAAAACTAAAACTATCTAATGATTTTTAACATCTATTGATATTTTTACACTCTAAGACAAAATAAAAGACAAGATTCTAGTAAAGATGGAAAAAATAATATAGTTTTTGCCCAGTTTCTAAAAACTAAAACAATAAACTATGCATTCTAATGTGATTTTTTTTTATTGTAGAAAAATTACGTATCCTACTTTGAAGAAATAAAGCATAAAGTGAAAGTGAGTATGTTTTACTCCTTGTAATGTTTCTAGTCTTCATATATTTACAAAATAAATTACAGGAAAACTGCTAAAACTAGACCTTTTAGTTGTTATAACAACCAATAAAATTCAGTTTTATGTCAGTTTTGGTCAAAGCTTGAAAGAGCCGCTGCAGAGGGACCAAAGAGCCACATGTGGCTCCAGAGCTGCAGGTTGCAGACCCCTGACTCAGTCTGACATGCATGTTTTTGGTCTGTGGGAGGAAACCGGAGTACACGGAGAAAACCCACGCATGCACGGAGAGAACATACAAACTCCACCCAGAAAGGTCCCGGGCCAGGATTTGAACCGAGACGACCTGCCCCCTGAGAGGCAGCAGCTCTGAGCTGTGCCATCATGCCACCCATTTAGAAACCCGTGTATTATTTTGTTTCCATTTCACAATTGTGCATTATTTTGTGTTGGTTTGTTACATAAAATCCCAATAAAATGTTTTAAAGTTTGTGTCTGTAATGTGACGTAGAGAAGTTCAAGTGGTTGAATACTTATTGAAGACCCTCATTGTGGTGAGCCCATTGTGCAGCATATTTGTGTTTGCAGGAATGTCCCCCCGGCTCTGAGGACTTCAGACAGGTGCAGTGTGCTGCCTTCAATGACAGGCCATTGGTGACGGGAAACACCTTCAGATGGACGACATTTCATGGAGGTAAGAAACACCATTCTCTACTGAAGAGATTGTTGCTTTTGTTTTACCATCACTGGATGATGATGTGCATGTGTAGCATATATGATGCAGATGCTAATGATAACTAAAGTGGTGACCACTCAGCAGTGGTAGTAGGCTGGTTGACTCTAAGGTTTGTCTTAGGAAGGATTATGGTTGCATTTAAGAACACACAGGAAACAGGAACACGGTTCATAATGTCATTTGTATTAAAGTTGATAAGTTATTTACAATATGCACAAAAAACTGTCACCATTGTATGAACCTGTTCATTACTTAAATAAACACAACATCTTACAATAGATAGAAGAACATAGCTCTCAAATTATCCAGACTAAATCCAAATGCTGGTATTAATCCCACAGTTCATGAGATACCAAGACCAGGGCAGTAGTCCAGATAAGTTCAAGGGGTTAAAGAGTTTGATAAGTCAGTAAAGACTAAATAAGTCTTTAGGGGCCTGTATTGGATGTAAAGTTTCTTGTGTGGGGGGGTGTGGAGGGAGCAGGCTGCAGCATCTCCTACCACACAAAACATATCCAATGGGTTCTTTGGTTCTAAAGCCTAGTGGTAGCTCTCCATCATAGGAAACCTGGCCAGTTTATGTGTTTCCAGTCTTTAAGCACAAACTGCAGCAGTTTCTCACATAATATAGACATCTAAAAGTTGCGGCAAGCCAACCCTAACTATAGCGATATTACGCAGGTGGAAGGCAGCAGTTCTAGTAACATTTTTAATGTCGGGGATAAAAGACATGTCCTGATCAAAAATAACACCAAGATTTTTAACATTAGAGCTGGAGGACAGATTAATGCCATCTAAGGAGGGAGAAAGACTGAAAAATTCCTAAGGTGCTCAGGTCCAAAAACCAAAACCTCATTCTTGTCTGTCTGTTTTGTGTTACCAAAACATGCAACTTTGCAATTCTTCATCTATGGTTTTTGTATTCAAACATGACTCACAAATCTTTAGTCAAAACTGGGTGTACTGATTAAAATGAAATATGTTGGATAGTTTTCTCAAATTATATCTTTGTCCTCTTGTTTTCTCATGATTTCTTCTGCTTGTACCATTTCGTCCATCTTTATTTCTCTTTCTTACCTCCTGCTGTTTTTTCTATATGCAACAAATAATTGACTGGAGACGTGTCCTGCCAGGTTCCAACCCCTGTGAGCTCAGCTGCTTGGCCTTGGGACATCACTTCTACTACAACTTTGGTCACGTCCTCGATGGTACATCCTGCAGCACAGAGTCTGAAGCGGTGTGTGTTAGTGGACGCTGTCTGGTGAGTGGTGATATGTGTGCTAGTTTTTTACATGTGGTCCTGGTTTAATGTTTAGAAGACCCATAAATGAAAAAGCAGCCAATCCCCACATAAAAACTTGTTGACCAAGACCAGTGACAAGAAGGTTTGAATCAAAGTGTGTCATGGTTTGAGGTTAGGAGCGAACCCAGAGTGCAGAACAGGGACTCAACTCAGCAGATATACAAAAAATAGGATTTTAATGGTAAATAAAAGTACAAAATAAACAAGCTGACAGGGCAGCAAAACTTACATGAATTAGGCACGGGGAACTCAGGAGGCACGAGAGACATGGGGAACTCGAGGGACCAGGAAGACTCAGGGAAAGACTCAGGAGACCCAAGGAAAGTAACCAACGAAGACGACCCGACGAAGAACAAGACAGAATAGGACAGCTTAAATACAGGGAGAAGACGAGACATGATGACAAACAGCTGGGACGAGACACAGGTGGCAACAATGGAAACTAATGAGGAAGCACGAGGGAAACAGACAAACCGGGCCACAGAAAAGTACCATCCTTACAAAGTGTGAAGAACAAAGAGCTGATTCAAGCTTTTGCACAGTTGTTTATTATAAATCTGACATATTGTACAGTGCTTTGCTCAGTGCATGTTTTTAATGCTCTCTTCAAATAAACTGAAATGACTCCTGGTCATTTCATACCTCCACCAAATCGTACCTTTGCAGTTTTAGACACTTTGTACCCATAAAAGCCATATGCCACATGAGTCTTGGTACCACCTCTTCCCACATTGTACCCAGCTAAGACCATTTTGTACCCTCTTGTGTCCATATTGTACCCTCCTGAGCAGCCACTAAACAGTAAATCTTTAGGAGCACTTTTAAAATAAAATGAGCAGATTTGGATCTGTTTTGTTGGGCTGGGGCATTTAGGGCTGTAACTTTTGATGTTTGCAGAATAACCCCATAACTCAAGACAGAAGAGTATATTAAATGCAGTTCTACTCAAATCAGGTATTAAACTCCCAAAATAATGATGATATATAATGTTTGTCTAAAACCACAGGAGGTTAGATTGCACCAGTACTGTCTTGTATGTCTGCCCTGTGTACAAACCAAGAGTCAGTGATCACAGGAGCTGGAAAATGTTTTATTTTTGCTGCAGGAAAAGGAGGGATCTTTATTCAGAGCATATCAAAATTTGTTATTGTAAATTAATAAACACTATCATAACTTTATGCATTTATTATTTGGTGGAAACAAGTGTTTTATGCAGTGCCACTGAGCCATTATGAACATGTGCTGGGCTGCTAATAGTTATCAGAGTGTAGTATCACTTTAAAAAAAAAAAGTGCTTGCTGATCATAAATATTTGGTACTAAGATATTATAAGGTATAATGACATTGAATGTAAAATAAATCACTATTTGAGCATGTGTAGGATCACTGGATTATGTGCAGTGCATGCAGAGAATCATGCATTTAGTAAGTTTAGGGATGAGCAGCGTTGTACCCTACTACAAAATATCAACTGTGAGTACAAACTGGTACTTTCTACAATATAACTGCTGGGTACAAAGAAGGAATACAATATGGCAGAGGCATTTTTAAAATGTTTTTTTTTCCTTTGGCCATAAAAATACATTTGTGTTTGGTAGAAAGTTAGTAGGACACATCCTCCTGAACAATGGATTGTTCACAACAAACCGTGAATCTAACCTGGAGTGAAACTGGGCTGAGGTTCCTCGTTGCTGTGCAGTTTCACTGAGTTGAAGCATAAGTGATCCTGACCACTGCAAGAGGAGCTCTCAGGAGAAATGAATCCCACGCTGAGTGTAAGGGCCAGAGTGCACTCATCAGTGTGGACTGCAGCCTTCAGGAAGCATTACAGCTCAGCTGAGCACAAAGTCCACACTTCCACTCCCAGCGTGTCTCCCTCACATGGATGAGGAAGACTGGACACAAACATACCTGTACTACTCAGTACACCTGTATACTTATAGGTTAAAAAGTTTGTTTATTTACCTAACTGAACATCGGAGTCAATATGGCTGTGTTTACATATGCATGTGTGTGTGTGTGTGGGTTGGCTTGTATTAGTTACCTTGTAAGGCCCATTTTTCCAACATATACTACATTGTGAGGACCAACTGTTCCTTATGGGGCCCAAAGCCCTGGCCCCATAAAGAAGAAATGTCATTGGTGGGTTAGGGATTAGGTTTAGGACTAAGATGTGTTTGTATGTACTGGTAATTTTTTTTTCATTCATTCAGCCTTTATTTATACAGGTTGATCCCACTGAGCCTTGGAGACTCATTTACAAAAGAGACCTGATTTTAACAAAGAGTGATGACAACAGTGGACAAGTTAGGGTTAGGTATGTACTGGTAATGGTTAGGTTTAGGGTTAGGGTTAGGCTATAAAAATGAATGAAAAGTTGTTTTTACAAGTCAAACTCTGACAGGGCGAGGTCAGAGCAGCAGATAGCTTGAAACTGGAAGCAGTTGTTGTGGAGGACCACAGGTCACAAACTGAGATCAGAACACAGACACAGTGCAGCACGCACAGAAACCCAATGTTATCTCAATTGTTAGGATGCTGTTAAAAATGTTAATAAAAGCAGGTGTTGGCTTTTGTCTACTAATGAAGAAACATTTTGACTAAATCCACCCCTTGGCCTTGGATTTAAAGTTAAAAAGAATATTGGTTACAATTTTCTATTGTGAAATGGGACACGTCAATACTTTATTACCCGTCACCCATTCATTCTACATAAACATATACAACATCAACATGCCTATTAATAGCATGTGAGAATACTTATCAAGCCTGCTGCACTTCAGCATAGTGTGATTAAGCATGTTAAGTGTGTTTCAATTTTTAAAAAAGGCACGGATAGATTTGTTTGTTCCCTTTTGATAAAAAGAGGAAACCCCACAAAAATTACTTAAATAACTTGAAATTAACCAAAGAAATCAAAAGAAAAAAAGTCCCCAAAAATTTGCTAGTACACAGTAAGTGCTTTTAAATTTGAATTCACAAAAAAAAACAAAAAAAACAACAACAACTTATGAATAACATTCTGGGGCAATCAGTGCAATCAAGTAGTTTCTATGAGACTTCTGTACCTGTCCACAACCTGTCCAAAGGTGTTCTGGTCCACCTGTCCACAAGTGTTCTGGTAAACTCCTCATGAACATACTACTCCAGCTGCATCAGGTTTGAAGGGTTCCTTCGCCAGGTGTTTCAGCTCCTTCCGTACATGTTCAACAGGACTTAGATCAGGGCTCTGAGGACCAGGGGCGGCTGTGGCTGAGTGGTTAGAGCAGTCGTCCTCCAATGCAAGAGTTGGGGATTCGAATCCTCCAGCAGTCACATGCTGAAGTGTCCCTGGGCAAGACACTGAACCCCTCATAGCCTCTGATGTGTGTCCCATCGGTGTATGAATGTGATCTAAAGCACTGATTAGTCTCTTTAGAATGATTTGTTTAATTAGCTTTGTAGCGATCTAGTAGAGTTCTGTATGAATGTGTAAATGAGGACACAGATTGTAGTGGAAAGCGCTTTGAGTGTCTTGAAGTAAGATAGAAAGGCGCTATATAAGTCCAGTCCATTTACCATTTACCATTTACCACTTCAGAACAACTCAATGTTTGAAAAAAAAAAGAAAGAAACT